GGCCTGCCAGTGTCCGTCTCTGTAGCATGTCCGGGCTTGTATTTGCGCGGTTCGCTTTCTGTCATGCGGAACGTGCTTCGGCCTTGGAACAGAGGATATCCCGCAGATGGAAGGGGATTTCACAAAAATGTTGAGCATCATTGGAACGTGATCTGTAATGAATGTGCCGGTCTTAGCTTTCAAATGGATGGAAATCCACCCTCATCTTGAGCCATTATTCCACTCTGCGAGCGGAGATGCTAATGAACATTGCTGTTTAATGAAGATGTATCAAGAACTACATATTTTCCTGCTGTTTCATATGGGTCCGACACTCGGTCTTGCACGCCGAGAGAAGATACTCAGAATTTTTAGAGCAAGCGTTCGGGATAATATTCCAGCCTAAGAGATAGGTAATGGCAAAGGCAAAATGGTAACGCTGTCCTTATGCCTATTTAATAATGCACCAAGCCATTGAGACGTATGGGGGAGAGGAGGTTCGGCTCCACCATTCTTGATCTCGGCACTGTGGTCATTTTCACGCACTGGCCGAGACCCCACCACCAAGAGCAGGTGTTGATGCTATGAAGTATACAAAAATCTCTTTCCTCCTCCCGGGAATAGAGCCCCGACCTTCCACCTCGTAACCCATTACCATAATGGCTGAGTAACAACGGACTACAACAAATTACATTTTCGTCTAATAATATTGTTAGGGCGACTAAATGAAGAAGGGCGATATTAGCGGAACATGTTATTAACACGGAGGAAACAAGAAGTGTGTTCAGATTTTTGTTGCAAATTCTCAAAAAAGGAGTCACTCCGAAACTCTTGGCGCACGTAGAATAATATTACAGTCGGTCTTATAAAATACCGCATGAAGTTGAGTTGATTCAGCTGGCTCAGGACAGAGCTCAATGGAAGATTGAAATAAGATAAACTAGGAAGAATGAGAAAGGAAATGTTCGAGGTACATTTCTAGGCATATTCCAATATTTGCCATGGGGAATTTAGACAAATTATGAAAATATCATGAAGATATTCGATGCCCCAGCGTCATTCGAACGAGGAACCCCCGAACAGTAGCCACAGCCAACCTGTAATATACCATTCTCGATGTTAAAGATGCATTCCTCAAACGCTGTAGCCCTATTTAAACGGGTTTACATGCTTAAATTAAAGTCCTTTAAAAATCTGAGGCAATGTGAAAATTAAAGTCGTTCCTATATTATCTATGTGTTCGTCTTATGGGTTCATCTGCAGGGTAACTTAACATAGTTCAGTTATGTTTCCAATATAATCCCTTCCGTATAAAACTCAAACCGAAGCTGTCCCTCTGCATATGCACCATTCCATCAAAGCGTGTGGAACAAGTGGACATAAAGCTCCACGCATTCGTATCTCCGGCAGTAAGTGTAGGCGTTGGGCTATGTTCACGCTCATACGAATTTGTCCTGGTGCTCTTCTGTTAGATGAGTGGTTACAGCCTAGAGCCGGTCTAGACAAAGTGAGATCAGTTCTTATAGACAATATTTATATACTCCTGTCGGCACAAGACAATAATGTTGTGTCCACAGAAATATAAAAAAATATTATCCATAATGATTTACGCAACAGGATGCAAAAAAAAATATGAGATATAAGTTCTTGCCCTTGCCAGGAGTCAATCCCAGTAGCTAGTTACTCTACTGGCGCATCTATTAAGGCTCACGAAGCTTTAACAGAATTTAATCAGATTTTTCTTAAATAATTCATTTTATGAAAACGTGTGCATTCCATAACGTATATGTCTCATTAACGTCTATGAATTTTATCTTTGCAGGCACTATATGTATAAAAAGCGTACCCTTTTCTATCATTATGAATGTCAGCAAGTAGTTATGAACAAATAAAACAGGAATAAACAAGAAAGAAAGTATGCTTGAACTGGTATCGCAGTGTCCACTTCTGCCAAAGGGTTCATGGCGTTCTTCTGGATAGCAGCACCGTTTAGCGCACGCTTTTCTTCTAACAAATTTACAATATTCGTATAAATGTAGTTGTCTTTTCTGATCTTACCAGTTGCTGAGATTAGCTCTCTTTCAACAAAATTTGATTTTATGGGTAAAAAAAATATTTCATACGTCCATAACTTTTTTATTCATTACATATTACACTTCTAATCAAATAATAATTTATTTAGATGCAATAATGCTCCTTTGAAATTTATAATTTATTTATACTAGTTTGCAAAATTGTGGATACTGTGTAACACCCGAATTCATCCTCAGACAGAGGAAACAGTGTTTCTCAATGAGGTCTAGCCGCTGCAGTGGGATTATCTCTGCATTTGTAGATTTGTGTATGGAGTAAACTAATGTCAGGGTCATAGTAGCATATCTGTAAAATTGTGTGTACTCATGTTAAAACAGATGGTCATATTTCCAGTCTAGTTATTTGTAGTCAGAACCGATTAAATGAACGTTAATTGATGGCGTCTACAAAATCATCTTAATCACATCCAACATTGGCTCAACAAATGGCGCATGAAGGCCAACGAAGATAAGTCTATTCATGTAATATTTACCATGAAACATGACAACTGCCCTTCAGTACAACTCAATAATTCTTAAATCCCACAAGCAGACGACGCCAAATATCTTGGCATGCAACTGGACAAAAGACTCACATGGCAAAAACATATCAAGACCAAACGCACACAGCTCAGAACTAAATTCCACAAGATGTATTGGATGCTGGGACGCCATTCGGAGCTCTCAACAGAGAACAAGATCCTATTATATAAAACTATACTAAAACCGATATGGACCCCTTATGGGGTACCGCTAGCAACTCCAACATCGAAATTCTTCAACGATTCCAAAATATGGTACTGCGTGTACTAGTTAACGCACCATGGTACGTACCAAACTTCGTCCTACACAAGGACCTGGAAATTCCACCAGTACGCGAGGAAATCACGCTCTCCAGTAAAAAATATCAGGCACGCCTCCGGAAGCACCCGAATTCCTTAGCGACCCACCTCTACGATGAAGAAGTCAGGAGGCTTCACAGATTTAAACCGTCAGAACTGTTAACCAGATTTGCTATCTAATTTTGTAAAACAATTAACTAGTTGACTATAATTAGTTAAATTACATATAGAACGAGTTCATTGGAACACGTTCTTCATGTTAAATTACTTTTATATTCATCATAACTAGTACTTATTATCCAAAATAGCTGGATAGATTGTATAATAAATTGGAGAAATAAAAAAAATTGATGGCGTAAACTGTCTCTATTCTAATAGGATTTAAAATTAAAATGCAGACAATTTGTGGCACTAAGTAATTGATATAGGGCCTATGCTTTAACCAAACACTGACATACATACGTCGCTGGTAAGTCCACCTTCTTTAATTAAGTAAGTCCCATGGTTAAAAACGTGTCTTCAAACCGTCACACTGACAATTTTTAAGCCTAAGTCTTTTCAGAACCCCACGAGATTCTTAGAAAACGGGACCGGCGGTTATGAGGACTGTACCTTCTGTAAAATGATCAAACATTATCAATTTTTTTAGTCTGTTTTTGTGGAAATTATAATATTGTACTTCAGTTTTCGAGTTAAATTTATTAACCTCTACAGTCATTTCACCACGCTTTACACAAAGTACATAAAAAGACTGCATAATGAAGAGGCTGTATCCATTTGTTTCATCTCGGCAACAACTAAACGGATTTCTCATTAAAATATGTAATCTGTTATTTCAATTACTTTATACATATCATGTATATACAACGGAATGAAAAACAAAATGTTGTATGCCTTTTACTCAGTACAATATTCGTATATTTGTTTACGTCTGTAGACTATATATTTGCAATTAAAATAAATGTAGTTCAAGATCCATACATTGCTTGTATTCAGACCTACATCTTCCCGCCCATATTCAGTTCTTTGTTTTATCTCCCTAAACCGTCTTAAGCCTAAGTATTCGCAAAAATAATGAAAAAATATCCCGCTTGGGGTCGCTTTTTATGTTTTAAGTGTCGTTAATAGGTGGCATGCCTCTTGTACATGTCCCATAATGCAACGTGATACACTTCGAGCGGAAAAGTAGATGGCAGGCTGGGCACCGAGTCTGCGAGCAACCGTAGCTGGATATCCAGCCGGTCAGTAGGGCGCGTGACACTGCCGACACTCGCGAGTATAACTTCACCCCACACATTAAAACATATCAACTGGGTTAAAAAATACATGCAAAACTTATTTAGATCATTTGGTAAAATAATCATAAGATCAATTACAGAGACTGAAATTTACACATATTTACAAGCTACAGATATAAGTCAAACCTTCATCAACATCTGTCAAAAGACTCAAAAAGATATCTATCCTAACAATTCATCTGAGTCATTCAATTAAATAGCTCTTAGAATGAACTAAGCTGAATGAAACTTACACTTGGTAACAGACCCACTCCTATAACACAAGTGCCGTATACCAAATTTCTACAAAATCTATAAACGAATTTTAAAAATATAAGGAAATATTCCTTTACGCCCTTGAATTAAGTGGCCCTTGAAATATGACAAATTTAAACAAGCTACACCAATATCTCACTAATATAATGATTAATCTACGGTCTGGAAAACCAGAGATACAGATTTTTTCTTCGCCACGTTGTATCGTCCAAATGGGCTCTAGAACCTATCCAACTGCGGAGTGGCACTGACCGGCCAGTTTTCTCAAACTACTACTGTTACCTTACACTAAGATAATCCGAACGAACTTAAAGTAGGTTTACAACTATAGCAGTTTAACTACTTCATGACACCGTGTAAACATAAAACACATAAGTGACTGGAACTATAGAGATACCAAAATATCTAATTCAAAACCACAACATTCTGACTATACTACATATATCAAAAAGAAAATACAACTGTCTCTCAGGTGGCTATTTACATACATCTGAAATAATGTCACGAAGCAATACACAATGACTTATCTAATAATTTAATTAAAAATGTCTTACCTTGTGTCTTCAACGTCAGTATATAAAAAGTTGGTTATGGTGGTCTAAATTACAGTCTAACACTAATAGAATTCTGCACTTGGGCTTAAAATCACAAGAAACTAATGTAAATTATCGCCACAACACATCTCCACTTAGCCACAGGTATACTACGTACTAAGTAGAATTTATTTCACTTGAGCACTACATGTGTCATAACACACAGTTAACCAAACATTAAACCGAACCCCGCGATACAAACTTTTAAAACTTGACAAGTAACCGGTCACAACACATCTTCACTTAGCCACAGGTGTACTACGTACTAAGTAGAATTTATTTCACTTGAGCACTACATATGTTATAAAACACAGTTAATCAAATATTAAACCGAACTCCGCGATACTTTTAAAACTTGACGAGTAACCGCAGAAACACTAGTGAAGAGCAATAATTTGCCCGGTCTAATTCGTCTTTCCCCGATACATTGCCGCCCTACTTCGATAGGTCGCGTGAGTGACGTATGCTTCTCACTGGACTGAGTGACAGCCTTCGGAAAGAAGCATTCGGCCATTAATTATGACATACATGCAGGAGATGAGCGCGTTCATCATTCCATTCCATGTTTGACAGGGCACAATATTGTATTGAATGGTGTTTATACGCAAGAAAAGAAACATTTACAATTAACTTACAGTTCACTCATCACGATCGTTTCGCCCGACACCCGACTTCTGAAATTCGAGCTAAATTACAATCTTCTGGTGTAAAATCCTACATTCTTGTATGATAATATGTCTGATGGGAAACCCATATACATGCCTACCGCAAGAAATGTTTTCCATTTGATGATGAAATTGAAGAATATCGAAGTCCTGTTGCTGGAACTGTGGTGAACGCTCTGGTCTGGTTAATAGTGTCACAAGGTCACTTAAGCTCTGAGGAATATGAGAGGGCAAATTAGCTAACGAAAGCTTCGGTGTTCTGCTGCGAATCAGCTATATGTATTATGTGTTAGTAACAGGTAGGCCCTCATTACTGGGCAGATGCTCCAGATCAGTAGCAAATCTCAGGAAATGACCAACACCTATTATGAGAAAAGGTAAAGTTGTCCCTGTGCTTAACTAATTAAGCACTATGCCATGAAGGCGTTTGAGAGAGTGGACGTACAGATTCACATTTTCTTGACCTCTGCACTAATTGGAGGTGAGTGGTCACCTTCATGCCCTTGCCGCATTAACCCTGGGGAAACAGCACCTGGTACCCATGGTATAAAAGGCTGGGTGATCCCCAGAGCCGATATGGATGGTGCGGAGAAGAGAAATTTCTCGACAGAACAGGGACTAGAACTCCGATCCCTCTGTCGTCCAGCCTGTAGCCAGTCGCTATCCCAGCTCCGCATATTATGAGTGTAAACAAAACTATTACAATGCAGGTTCACAGATCTTGTTCTTGTATGTATTCGTGTTGTGAAGAATAGATATGACAAGTAGACACACCTTCGTTAGAAAAAAAAATCTTTGGAACATAACAGACAGCGTCTACCTGTGCGTTCATTTCCACCTGAGGTAATGACATAACGTTTCTGGATCATCATTTCAGAAAACAGATGTCAGCTTTAAAATGTAATAAATCCAAGACATTGTTTCTTTCAGAAGGACGATAATGAAGCAAGAAAAGATACTTCCTTGAAATCTTTTTTTTTAATTCGCTTAGTGGGGGGTGGAGTCCAACTGGGTCCACTCGGCACGACGGCCACTGATTGGCCTATTGTAGCCTGCCCCAGGTGATTATGATGATGGAGAATTTGGTGGAATGAAGATTGGCAGGGGAAACCAAAGTTCTTGGAGAAAACCCGCCCCAGCGCCACTTTGTCCACCACAAATCCCACTTAACCAGACCTGGGATCATACCCAGGCCGCCCCTGTGGGAAGCCAGCGACTAACCGCTTGAGCTATGGCGCGGCCAAAAAGGGTGATAGTCTGCTAACTCCAAAGTGAATCTACTTCTTGCAGAGCACATATCTTCTCTGCTCATAACATGCAAACCTGTCTTCCACATACTAACACACAGAATCACATTTTTGCCATTCTATATTATGAAACGTTTGTGACCAAAATTTGCACTGCTTCATAGAAATACCCTAAATATATTTATATATGTAGAAATCTATTCATAAATAAAGAATTAATCTCCTTTAAATTAGTGGGGCCAATTAATCTATATTCAATAGTTTTCCTTAATTTTAATAACAATCTCTTCTCTTCATTATATTATTTATTTATTAACAAAATTAAACCAATTAGTAACCTTAGTCATATAATCATATTAAGTAAGCAATGATAAAAATATATAAAGGACCCCATATATGTTGATACATGCATCACAATCCTGAGTGCACTGTGTATGGGGATGTTTCAAGAGATATATTTCAGTGTCAGCTGGTTCCAATGCATATAACAGCATCCCATCATGGAAAGAATATAATGATATTAAAATCAAACAATAAAACATGTATCAATGAACATATTGTGACGTGTTGCGCTATGGACGATGCCCCTCCCTCCCCACCAGCCGTGACGTGCCAAGCAGAGCCGAAGTGAGCCGAGTCCCAGCACACTGGTCGCTATGCAACTCGAGTAAACAGCGGTTGCTAGGCAAAGCTGGTAAATAGTGGTTGCGAGAGACGATGGCAATAACAGCGGTACACAGCGTTGCTAGCACGACGGAGGCAGACAACAGTGGTGCCTATGACGTGGCTGTTTTCTGTGTTGTCCGGAACGAGGCTAAATAAGGAGCAGTCAAGACTATTCACGGTCAGTTACGAGTTCCGAGCAAACGAACGAGTTCTCAATCTAGCCAGCGGGGAGTAATGAGTTAGCCAGCAACCAGTCAGTTGTATTCGGGCATTTGCAATGTAGTATTTGTGATACTGCAGATTTCAGTAATTGTGGATCTGTAAACTGTGTGATTGTAAGAGCGAATGTGAAGTAAAATTCGTTATACCCAATACGGCGTGAATTTGTTTGTTGCATTATACACCCAACACATGACAATATGCTCCAATGAAACAGAAACAATGTAAGATTTTAGGCTTTCACGGTGGTGACTATGAAGAAAGCAGTCTTCTGGGATTTGGCACCGTGTATATGTGGTGTTAACCGACGTTTCGGAGGAACGTATCGCCTCCATCTTCAGGGTAGAAGAAAAAATATAAGAAATCTGCAAGCCAAGAGACTGTGAGAACCGGTAAAAGCAGACTGGTAAACAGAAACAAGTCTCCAGAATCATACTGCGACACATGGTGTCACCATTAATATCATCATGCATGGACAGCTCAACAAGAAAATTAATCATAATAACTGGGTACAATGCTTTTAAGTTCCGGATCTGTCTCGGTCTTCAGACAGAAGAAAAAGGTACCTAGTCAGTGGAGCTATGCCTTATCACTGGGCACCAAAGCAGATCAGGTATGGTCTATATACACAAAAGGGACTACAAATTCCAGTGGCATGTTGCTCTTTCTTTGTTATAATGGAATAAACACAACTGTCTCATGTACCGTAAAACAAACAGAAATAAAATACATATCAGAGTACGGGAAACTGTGACTACCTTCTTAGCACACTGCAAATCCCCCATCTCAGATGTCAGAGAGAGAGAGGGGTGGGATAACAAGCTGAAAGCAGAGCTGCCAGACTGAACTGCACCATGTATATGGTAACATTATGCTTCATCACATTATAACACTATCACTTAGTGTCAATATACACTGCGAGCAGATATACTTGTGAGAGTGTTACAGAACAGTAGTATCTTGTGTTCAGTTTTGAGAACAATGTAAATGCAAAGTGGCAGGTAGTACAAGACTGGGAAATAGCATAGTGAAAAGAAAACAGGACTTTTCTCAAAACGACGGCTGGAATTGAGGTCCCTTATTTATTTTACAGATAATATCATTGTCACTCTGTGGTATTCAGAATAATGTAAGCTTACACATTACTGTACAACTATGCATTGTTTTGAATCATTGTGTATATACTCGGCTTACTGTTCAAAGAGAAATACAAGCTGGCATGAAGGATTGTTACCTTTAACCTTTATTGAGTCTGTTCTTGATGTTCCATAACATCATTTTAAAATGTCACTTGATCAACGTCTTTAATCTAAATCCAGCCAAGTCTCTGGTCAGAGATGGTAATGTGTTGACTGGTAATGTCACCTCATGGTCTGTCATAAATGAGTGTGAATCATAATTCATAAGAACCAAATGAGAAAACTATGTATCTACTCCAGTATCATTTTATCCATCACAAACACCGTAGCAACTGTCTCAGGATTTAACCCAGGTCCCAGCAATGAGAAGCTGATAACTCTCTGATCTGTGTCATTTTTCTGTAAACTCTCAATTGTGGCCTCAGTGTTTAGAAGTATTCACATTTTCTTCCATGACCAGTTTTCTTCTAACAGCAGTCATATGTCTTTCCACCAATCCAGCTGGTTTTTGTTTAAATAGGAACAAGAAACAGACGTGAACTCTTTTAGCATGTTGCTGACCAGGTTTCATGATTGACTTGGAGAGAAAAATTTACACCGTAAATCTTAACACAGACTGTACTGACTGTAACTACAGGAAGCACTCAATCACTTGCTGAATAACACAGTTATTAATTAAATTGACCACTAAAAATTTTTAATATTTGTTCATAACAATTCTGTTCACACCTCACTAATGTCTGTCACTAACCACCTTGTAGAAGCATCCCATCATTATAATACTTTGATGAATAATTCCTTCTTAACATGTCTTTGGGAAGACTGTACCTCCAGCCAGCCCGCAGCTGCATACTGAGTGCCCGTACTGTTTCTGACATGACACTCCTGTCAGCAATGTTCATGTTCTCTTCTGGGTCCACCTGGTGGTCATAGAGTTCTCGGGATATAACATATTTCCAGTCTGGCTTAAAGTTCTTTCTGTCAAATAGGACCCACTCTGTGTAGCGGTGTCTTGAAGTTCGTAATGAGTACCCTATGATGGTGAAAGATGCTGTATCATTTACTGATGTTAAAATATGTAAAACTACAAAATTATTTCTTATTTTACATGGTTGCTCACTCTCCGGGTGGAACAAAAATTGGAGGAAACTGCATTGGAGAATATATGAACCTATTAGAAATGAAAATATATGAAAATGGGGAAAGTGTCATAATGAAAGACTTCACAATTTACAAATGTTAAGGTGCATACTTATAAGACACAAAAGATGATATGAGTAGACACAGCATACACAGGGGAAATAATAAATACATTCAAAACACTGGTCAGAAAACACTATTTGGGAAATCTTGGTGTACATGACAGGAAAATTTTGAAGGGAATCTTAGACAAACAGATTCCACAATCTATGAACTGTCTATGTGAACTGGACTGAACAAGCTTGGGACAGAATATAATGACAGGATTTTGTAATGGGGGTCACAAAGCTCAGCATTTCTTATCCAATATATATAAACTCAATAAAAACTTTCCTTTGTATTTTTTCCTGACAGCAACTGTAGTCAGGAGGCCATAAATGATGGAGGAATTTAAAATGTATGCTTCAGTTTTCTCTATAACTTTTGCCTGAAACACTTTTCTCTCCAATCATAAACATTTGAAATAAATGTAAAATGTAAGTAGGCCTTCATGTAGCCATTGTTAAACTTGTCCAACCTGAACAAAATATGGCATTGCTTGGTAATCTTTTGTAAAATTCTCCAATATCAAATTTCATGAAAATTTGCCTAGCAGTTCTCAAGTTATTTCATGCATACACATGGGCACACAGAATAAGAGAACTTAATAGGCACTCTGCAGGATTGTGAATACACCTAGAAATAAAGATGGTATATGAAGAACCACTGATGAAACAAAGGACAATCTGCACAGACCAAGTGAGGGAAGATACAAAAAAGAGAATATGGGGAGTGTGGACATGGTATAAGAGTATGTTTATGGGAGAAGAAAGAATGGGGAAAAATTTGTCATAGGATGACCCACCTTGATGAAAATCTCAATTAACTAGGGTGACAGACTTTATGGAGCCTCAATACTGAAACTGTCACTAAAACATACATAAAAAAAGATAATGACAATGATGATGATGATTATGATGTATTGACCCAGTATCACGTACCCATTACTTTAATCTGCTTCAGGCGAGGTTTGTCACTGTTTGGTTTTAATGTTGGGAACAACCCAGGACGTGGATACTGACTGAAAACTCCTGTCTTCCATTTCTGTTCAAGATGTCGATTTCTTGCTTCAGTTCCTTGAACCTGAAAGTTTCCACACAATATATTTCATTTTTTTTTTTTTCATTCCTGGTTCATGACAGGGCATCACAGTAAACTTGTTCACTAGTGTTTGAGAGGAATTAAGATTCCACCCTCAACAGATAAATTTAATTGTTAATTGTAGACAGCAGTTTTGAAATAAAATAAATGCAAGTGTACAAGCATCCCAGTTGAAGCAAAATCTGGAAACATACTCTATGTGGCATACTTTCAGTCATAGGGTCTCTTTTAAGAAACACTGATTCAACACATTTTTAACCATGTACTGTATCAAACACAATAGAAATTAGTGATTTAAAATGGCCTCAGCTATGCTTGGTGCATAGTAATGCAATTCCCAGCGAGATTTTACAAAACTGCCTACACAAATTGTTGGATCTCTGAAACAGAAGAACCGGATAGTACTCCTGTCAAGTCAGGTCTTCGAATGTCAGCAAAACTGACAAACCTGTAGCTTGAAAACATTAAACAGAAAATGTTCCCAGGTTACAGCAGATGCTGGAACAGATATCTCTTCCATACATATTCTTGGCACTTCAAGTTCTTCTTGGGAAACAGGATAAAGTACTTTTTAGATCCTTTCCTTCAGTTCATCAATTATGTGAGAACTTCACCTGTAATGTTTTTGCTTTACAGTTCCTCATAATGCTTCTCTGCCATTCAGTTCAGAACCTTTTGTCTTCCCATCTACTATCTAGAAGCATAAAAATTAAAATGTACAAAACTATAATTTTGCCAGAAGTATTATAATGGTGTGAAACTTTGGTCTCTGACATTAAGGAAGAACATAGAATGGGAGTGTTTTGAGAACTGGGTGTTGAGGAGAATATTTAGACCTAAGAGTGATGAAATAACAGGAGGCTAGAGAAAACTACATAATGGGGAACTTCATAAGTTGCACTCTTCAATAAATAGAATGATCAAGACAGGAACAACGAGATGGGCAGGACATGTAACATGTGTGGGAAAGAAGGGGAATATATACACGGGTTTTATGGGAAACCAAATGGAAGTAGACCACTAGGAAGACCTAGACATAGATGATAGAACAATAAAATGGATCTCAGCATAACAGGGTGGGGTGGTGTGAAGTGGTTTCATCTAGCTCGGGAGAGGCACTAGTGGTGGCTTTTGTGAACATGGTAATGAACCTTCAGGTTCCATAAAATGTTGAAAAATTCTTGAGTAGCTGAACGGCTGATGGCTTCTCAAGAAAGACTCAATGCCATGGAATTAGTTAATTAGTTTCTCACAAACAAGAGTCACATTACCTGAGGTCAGGAAAATTTACTGGCCATAAACCATTATTAATATTCTTATCCACAAACACATCTCTCAGAGAGTCTATTAATGCCCTTTCTGTATGAGCAATAGCAGAGTCTTGTTGACAAAATGCATATTGGCATTCTTTATCTGTAAGCCACTTGAATAATCAGCAAAATGTTTCTCAACTGACTGTACCCTTGAAGGAAATCAGTCCAATTACTCTATCTGCACTTACACTGAACCATATGCAAATACTAGAATCATGCTGTGGAGCTTCCCATATATTCATCTTGGATTGTATGAAGTAGAGTATCTGGTTTTCAGTGAATTTACCTCTCCATGTAAGCCAAACATACCAAGACTTGTCAGAAAATAAAATAAAATCAGGCGAAAGATGATTTCACCATTATGAACAGACTAAAGGAACCACTTGTTGCTGTTAGTGAGATTATGTTGCTACAATTTATGCAATATTGTTGCCTTATATTGTTTCAGCTTCAGGAGTTTTGTGTTAATTTATGCAGATTTTGAAACCCCGATCTGTGCGAAGTACCTGAGCAAGTTCTAAGGATAATGTTCGAGTCTTCCATTGATTGCATTCGATTTCTCTTCAGTGAGCAAATCACAACCTGTTTTGGTCCAGTAACTACTTTGTCTATCAAAATTTATTTAAATTCTATGAACAGATTCTCTATATAGAGCTGTAATGTCGGAAATTTATGTCAGAATCTTCTCCTTGCATTTGTTGCAGAACCACTTTTCACATAGATATTGTACTCGAACACCCACTGTTCCAATTCCCATACATATCTCACATGAGACATTCTGACACGGGAAATAATAAATCTGAGAGAATAACTGTATAACACAGAGGACAAGTACAGTAGCAAGAATTAAAGCAACATGAGGCGCAGAAGATATGAGGGTCAGCCTGTAAAGCATAACCTTGCTTCGCAGTTGTATTGTCTAAAAATATAATTGTATAATGGGCATTTAAAGGGGAGAGAAAGAAAGAAAGAAAGAAAAAGGAAGGAAGAAACAAACAAACAAAGTAAGAAAAGAGAAAGAAAGGAAGGAAAGATGGATAGAAAAAGGAGGAAGTGAAAGAGAGATAAAGAAAGATTAACTGGGGTGTTATTATCAGGACACAGTGAATTTAAAAAGACTCAGAATCCAAGTTCCTCCATTATTATTTCAGATATATTAACTGACCTTCCTGAAGACAGCATCTTCTACAACAGGACCTATACTGATTCCCTCTGTGCAGAGTTGCACAAGGCTAGAATTAACTGGACAGAGTGGCGGAACAACTGGTAAGCCTGTCAACTCAACCAGAGTGGGAAATATATCCACCAATTCCACGAGTGCACTGCTGGACAGATACTCCTTGCGTTGGAATCTGATGGAGTCAGTCAGCCCTGGCACATGGAGGATGAAAGGGACCCTCACAGAGACCTCAAAGTTACTGTACTTGGACCATTCTCCATGTTCAGCCATTGACCATCCTGTGGAGGAACACAATTTTTATTTGTACCTTTCAGATGTGGACCAATATAAGGAAGGAGGATGAGATGGAAAAGGCATGCAGCATGCATGGAAGCAAAGAGAAATGCTTACAAAATTTTAGTTGGAAAACTTGAATGGAAGAAACCACTTGGGAGACCTCAACACAGGTTTAAGACTAATATTGAAACTGACCTTAAAGACTACGAATTGGATCCATCTGGCTCAGGACAAGGATAAGCTGTTGTAAACAAAACAATGATCCTTCAAGTTCTGTAACAGATGGAGAACTTCTTGGTCAGGTGGGGGACTGCTTGATTCTCTTGACACACTCTGCACTTTAATTCTTGTGTAAGAGTCTTTCTAGGTGACAAAGAAGGCTGATAGGTGAAAGATTTTGGTCACGAATTCAACCATCCTTTACTGTAATGGGACCTGCATGAGGAAACAATGGAAAGCACTCCTAGTGTCGGGTCGGAGAAGTACCATATGCTGTTTGAACATATGTGCATTACAAATTTGTTCCTGAAATAATATTATACAAAACTGTAATTTTGTCTCTGATTTTTTGCCAGTTGCATGTGAATTCCAAATTCCTAGATACCAGATAGTCAGAAGTTCATTGTATATAGTATACATACACTCACTCCCTNATATATTATAATAATAATAATTATTAACAGATATTTTGAAAACCTGTGCCCCTTTAATTCTTTAATTATAGATTATAATCTATAATACACCATTCATGACATTTTGTGTATCACTAGTAAAAGCATAAGAGGCATAACTATATCCTTGGGTATTTCATTAAATGGTGACCATAATGAAAACGTTTTCAAATAAAGTTCATACATCTTTAAAAGCTTATATTTTGCTTTCACACATACCATTTGTACAGTTAGTAAGCTGATAAATCTAAATTTGAGCCTAATAGAGAGTAATAGAGAGAGAGAGAGAGTTATGCTGGGTCAACAGAAACCAAAGTAAGGACCACCCAAGAACTTTTAGTACAGATTGCCAACATTAAATTTCATATAAATCTATTAAGTATTTTCAGAAGTAAAACATGCAGACATATGAATAGACATGCATGTCAACTCCATTATGTGTTCACTCTATGCATTTTGTGCAAATTAAAAACAAACTCTATAGCAAACTAATCAACTTTGTTTATAAGAAACCATACTCTTTTAAAGTCACCACAATGTGAACCATTAATCAGTTTGAATAAGTTAAAGTTGCTCTGATTTAGAAAAATTACCCCCATGGAGTTTCATAAAATTGATAAATTGGTTTATGTATTTTAAAGAAATTATTGACAGGTGCATATGCGAACACACAAATGCATGTACACTCACACACAACACACTGTCCTTCAGTGCTCTGTGCTGAAAGTGCCTGATGCAAGATTTATGTAATATTTTATATTTATAGTTACCATGATCACCAATCAGAAGTACAATTGTGCTGTTGAAAAGACCCACTGCTCTCAGTTCTGAGAGTAACTGGCCCACTAAATCATCAATATAAGACACTGCTGCATAATAACTTTGTATCACCAGTCGAGCATAATCATCTGGAACAATTTTTAGATAAAGCCAGTGAAGAGTCTATTGTGTTCAGTGTGCTTGAGAACAGGGTGTTGAGAAGAATATCTGGACCTAATATGGAGAAAGCTGCACCATAAGGAACTTCATAATCTATACTTTACATCATAAACTATTAGGGTGATGGAACAAAGAAGGATAAAATGGATGGGACATGAAGCACACATTCATATGTTAAGAAACTCATACAAAGTTTGGATGATAATCTTCCAGGAGACTGTTTGGGTGAACTAGTTATAAATGGAATGATAATAAAAAGATAGATCTTAAGAAAATGGGATATGGTTGCTTGGTGGGCCCTTGTCCATGCAGAAATGGACATTCAGGTTCCATAAAAGTGGGAAGTTTCTTAATTAGGCAAAGAGCTATCAACTTAAAAAAAAAAACAGTAACATGCAATTAGTTAGAACAAGTGTGCACATAAACAAAGTATATGACTTATATTTATAATTTTAACGCTTAATTTGTAATACAGAAATTTTCTTGAAAGGTTTAAAGTTGATTAACTGGTCTAGAAACTCTTTGCCTCTATGATATTCAAAAATTCCTTGGCATTATGACAAAATCCTTTTACTAGATCATATTTTGAGACACCAGAATCCACTCCACACCTTTGCAGCCTATTTCTTTAAGGTCCATTCTAAACTATGTCTAGATCTCTTTCTTTGCTTGAAGTTTCTTAGGCAAAACATTACATACATTCCGTATCTGCCCATGTGGTATACATGGGCAGATGACCTGCCCTCTCATCCTCATTGATTTAATCACCCTAATCATGTTGAATGGAAAGTACAGGTTAAGTGCTTCATTATGTAACTTTGTCAACATCTTGTTACTTTTCTGTATTAGGTTCAAATATTATCCTCAGCAATTTGTTCTTAAACGTCTTAATCTAAATTCTTCTTCAGAGCGACAAGAAACACCTATAGCTACATAAGTAATGATGGCAGTTATGAGGGACACACTCATATTCTTCATAACCCCTGATGATTTCTTCCTTTTAATAGAGACAGTTAATACCTCACCAGGCATTGGGCCAAATGGAAAAGACACATTGAGGGCTGCCACATCTTCCCTCTCTCTCAGATCAGTCCAGGGATTCCATGCTACTGTCGGCAAGGCAGATGGTCGCCAGTGTGCTGATGGCAAATGGATAGATTCCAATGGGTGAAGTTCTGAAATACAGATCGGAATGCTGCTAAGTACATATTATTCCTTTAGAACAATCATTCTCAAAATGGTTTCAAAGGGTCTGAAGACAATTATGACTGCTTGTGTGGATGAATGCACATGCTCATTTACATTTATATTTACCACGGTATTTTACAGGATATTTGAGAGGCACATGTGGCTTGTGGAAACCAACAGCCAAGAAGAATGGTGACAAAGTGGCACTTGACTGAGCCTGAAGAAATTTTGTTGCTTCATCCAGAGACTGCAAGTCAGGCAGCGAGTGACCAGGCTGGAACCTGACTTCCACTGGACAAACCAAATTTCGGCCAAAAGTACCATCTGCTTGAGGACAAACACTCGCCTCCTTGTAGTGTTGAGTGGGCGGATGATAGGGGGCCTCGGACCAACTGTATGGCTGATCATCGCTCCAATTAGATGAAATACCTGCAGGACATGAACAGTGCATGTTTACAAGGCATCCAAATGAAATCACATGACCCACCATATCATCTGGTGACTGAGATGATCACTTGCCTATTCCTTTTTATTCCTTGGCATATTTAATGATGCTTTCCTACTTGCATTCATTGAATAACAGGACAATAAAGAGTAATGAATTAGAAAGCGTGTGACAGGAAGCAGCTACATATTTTAAGGTATTACTAGCCCAGCAATTCCACAAAAAGACTAAGGAGGCCACAAAATCATCATTCAGGGAAGCCAGTCATAAGGCCAAGATTCAGACTCTGAACATTCCAAAATGTGAAGTGGGACTAACTGCTGTAATCCCATATATCGGGCTATACTAACTGATGTTTCATGTAGTTCCCTCAAAACCTTTCCATAAATTTGAAAGTAATAAGATTTTGGGCTTGGAATGACAAGCCATCAAGTGTAAACAAGTAATATACAAACAATCCAATTATTTATAGGGCCTTACATGCTTTGGCTCTTCAGACCAAATTCAGATGCTACACAATTAAAGGAACTCATTTTTCAACTGCTCTGGTCTTAGCACAATTACAAGTTATGCAGTCACAAACTATAAATATAGGTTACAAGTGCAGATGTTTAAATCAGTAACAAGTTTTCTTGTTTTTGTGCTGTATCTTCTGATTGATACAGGTTTTTCTGTTCTTGTTTGTTAAACGTCTGATGTCCTGTTGGATCCATCAGTCAGTAAGCAAGAAAATAGCAATTTGGTGAATTTTCATATACCTTCAGACATACTATATACTGTTTCAAGGTTCCAGATTTAATGGTGGAGTTTCATCATTACCCTTCTTTAAATATATACTTCAGGTAGCAAAGATGTGTCTCTCTGAACATAGCTAACAAGAAATACTCTGGATTTGTGAAAATACAAGTCCAGAGGACTGGAGAAATTTATAAGTACTATCACTGTGACAATTAAATTTATATTTCAAATCTGTGATCCAACCTACACACTTACCTGGATGGAAAATCTTTCCAATTGCCTTAGTGTGGTAGCCATTCTCTTTGAAATACTGAGGGAGAGTTGTAAAATTTCCAGCAACTTCACGCCAGTAGCTGTAGAAATCATACAAGTGAAGTGTGTCTGGACGTCTGCTTGTCAAGAATGAGTTCCGACTGGGTGCACACAAAGCTTGCTGAAACAGGAAAACAATATTGTTAAACTAACTTTGTGCCACAGAATCTTCATTAACCACATGGTCAAGAAATCACCTACTGTTAAAGAACCAAATAGATCATCACTATTATAAAAAAAAGCATCCCTTCAGATCCTATCCTCAGCCTGTTCACATCTTTGTAGCTTGTTTATCTAAATGGCAGAAGAGGCTGGTCCAGAATTAATGCTTTAGACTTGAATTTTGGAAGTGCTTCATTCAAAGCTTAGCTGGAACTTGAACTACCCTGAGTTTTTTCACAATTTTCCTCACTCCCTCCAGTACTATGCCAGAAGAGTGTCTCAACTAGTCCACAACTGCTTCCTACCAAAACCTTCCCAATTCATTGATGATCATACATACCATCCAGTGCTATATACTCTATATCCTTATAGCATCATTGGATAATTCGCACACACACAAAAAGACACCTAAATATCTGAAATTTGAACCTTCCCTACAAGATTTCAGGATCTCACGGTAGTGGAAAAAAATATCATTGTTTTCTGAGATGTGATGCCATATAGTCTGGTAGTTGATTACCAATGTTTTTTAGGAAATTCTGCCCCCATCTTCAGGGTACAAAACTAAGCCAAGTGTGTAAGAAATGCTTCTAATGCAGGGAAGCCAGACCAGGACATGGGCTCTAGGCAGGCTAACAGCATGACAGATATAATCAGATATAATGAGGGCTCAGCTTACACTTCTACCCTGAAGATGGAGGAAGCATGTTTCTCTGAAATAATTTTAATGATAACCAGACTACATCTGAGTAGACTATAATATTCTTCCTTCCCTTCAAAGGTTACCAAAATCAAACTGTTTATATATTTCTTGTTTTTCCCAAATAGACTGTATGTCACATTGATGTATTCACCCTAAGAGTGCTATTTTGAAATCGTTGTTTTCCCCATGTTCTATCTTAAAACACAAAGGACTTAGAAAATTACAGATGGTCTGGTAATGATATATGGCGAAGAGTACAAATTCTGACATCCTCCTTAAGTAATTTTCTTCATTCCCACCATTCAATTTCTTAGGCCCAAATTTAATGGCACAATTTCACCAGAAAAACCCACATCCTGCACCTCTGGTTTCTAATATTTCCAAAGATTCAACCACAACACTAAAGCCCACCATCAGACAAAATCCTTAGCCAGTTCTGCTTACCTTCCTTTCTGACAATTTGTTTCCCTAAGATTCACCTTCATATCCTCCAATTTTCTTGGTCTTCCGTTACCTGACTTGCAACAGGGTTCCCTGCTAAAATCTGTACAGATTTCTTGCCTTCCCCACTTCGTCTACACATCCAGCCCATCATAACTTTCTTGATTTCACTGTCATAGCAACTTTATTGTTTATTGTTTATTGTTATTAAATAACTCCACAAATCCTGTACAGGGGCTTTAGCACCCATAGGATATAGAGCTATATATAGAGCAACAGCAAGTGATTCTTATAAATCTCCTGATACAATGCCCAATTACTTCAACCCTCTTCAGCCAAGCAAATGCTTTTTAATACATGTTCCTCCTTCCAAAGCATTCCCAAACTTTATTCTCCCAATCTCACCAGGAAAAGAATTTACACTTGTTTCTGTTGCTCCTAAGTCTTTAAGTTTTAAAATGTTAACTATAGTTTTGATAGTTTTCCAAACATGAGAAATAAAGTATCTACTCTTACAAATTACTTTCCTTAACCCACATCTTATCAGTGTACAAAGCAGCTAATGAACCAGAATGTTACTAACAAAACTATAATAAAACAATATAAGTGTAATTTTATGCAACTTTCACATAAGTCTATACGGGAATATTAGAAGTTTCAAAATTATGTCTGCTGTACAGAGCATAACCTGTGCTGGGGTCAGGATGGTGAGGGGGGGTTCACAACCTTTACTGGAATTTCCAACATTCTGATCCTGATCCCACTGACTTATACTGCCATCTGCGGCTTGGTTCTGAACTGGACGAATATATGTATAGATATAGCATAAAGCACAGTTGTTCAGTCACGTTCAGTCATATGGAAGGAGTTACTGTGTTTACATTGTCAAAAGTCTGGTGTTCTATTGCATATTTCAATATAGCATACTACAGTGCTGTACTTCAGTTGCAGTATGTGCGGGATACTCTGCCGGTACCTCACTCTTTCCTACCTGCACGTAAGCATTGTTAAAGTATATGCTACTTTCTGCTAACGCATCAATGTTTGGAGTGTGTGCCATGGTATCTCCGTAGCACCCAAGCGCGGGGCGCAAGTCGTCCACAATTATAAAAACGATGTTATCTTTCGCTTCGATGCCAGAAAATGACAGGAAAATATAGAGTGTGTTCAATATTATTTCAGTTATGCTTGACATTACTCTGAAGTCAAAACAATGCAACATATTTTCATGGTTTCATACGGCATCACAGAACACATAAACAACAAATCCCTCTTTCGTATCGATGGTAAAATCACAGATGATACAGTCTAACAAAAATATCGAATTATTCGATTACCGCAAATTATGGAATAATTCCGAATTCTGAAAGAGGATCGAGTTTCATTAGTAGTTTTATCATTATATTAGTATTTATTTATTTAAAAAAAAGAACTTGTATAAAAAAATGTTCTAGATCAGTGGATCTCAAACTGTGGGGCGCAACCCCCNCAGGGGGGGGGCACAGCATACTTTCCTACAGATAAAAATTAAAACTGCTCTAAATCAATTAGAAAAGTAACAAAAAATAAAAACACATATAGAAAACGTTTGATGAGTACAGGCATTAATTATCATGAATTTCAAAATAACTATTAATTATTCTCTCTACTGGCAATTATAAAACGCGTATGCCAGAGACAGCGTTGATAGTTTGGCAACAACCGCATCCTCTGAAATCCTCTGAAGTCTAGACTTTTTAAAATTCTGTGTACGGAAATGGGTGCTCGATGGCTTTCAAGAGGCAAGGTATTAAAGAGAATGTTTAAGCTGAGGTATGACGTGTTCTGTTTTTTAAATGGGGAAAATCGCTCACTGGCAGACAGTTTCATCAACAAGGATTTTTTGTTGAAAATGGCTTACCTCACAGATATATTTGAGAAACCAAATAGCCTCAACACTTCACTTCAAGGGAATGAGGCAACTGTACTTTCTTGGAATGACAAAGTGAAGGCATTCGTGAGAAAATTAGAGCTCTGGAGAAACAGTATGGAAAGTGACACGCTAGACATGTTCCCTACTATGGTGTCAATGGTACAAGGCACTGAGAATTCAGTGCTTGCAATGGACATAAAAGTAAATTTAAGGAATTGTCTTTGTTGGAATTCTGGATATATATTGGCACGTAATTCCAAACTTTGAGCCAAAAAGCATTGAAAATCCTGATTCCATTCACAACAACTTACTTATGCGAGACAGGCTTTTCTGCTTTGGCAGCTATAAAGTCAAAGTATCGTTCAAGGCTAAATATTGCTAAAGAAGTTAGAGTGGCCATTTCTGATATTACACCACGTTTTCATAAACTTTGTTCTCAAAAGCAGGCCCATCCATCACACTGAACTTTGATATTTAAATGTTTGATTTTCTTTGCAGAAAAAAAATTAAATACTTGTTAGTTAAATATCGTTTCATTTCAATACATATTTTGGTTAATTGCAAGTGTTAAAACTAATATTTATTGTAGACCCAGTATTGTGATACTTTAATTGTGAGTAAGAAAACTGCTAAGTAGTATGTAGAAAAAAACAAAATAAACTGAATGAAACATCAAACATACCATGACTTCTATTTTGATAAAGAAAAAACAGGCTGGGGGCCTGAGAGGATTTTCTCTTCTCAGGGGGAGCTCAGAGGTAAAAAGTTTGAGAACCACTGGCCTAGGCAATGCCCATCCGGCCCTCTCGTTAGCAGATTAGACAACGTGGTTTAGTGACATCTACATGCAAGGTAGCAGTACCAATAAATAATTCCTGTTATTCACAATGGAAATTGCACGGATTGCAGGTACCGGGGACCCATTCACTGGTGGTAAAGCGGGAGGGGCGTGCAGCTGACCATTCACTTGCAACTAGTTCTGAGTTCAAGAATACGTGGATCTATACATCCACTCCCTCACATGCCTTCATGGCATAGTGCTTAATTAAACACAGGAACTTCCATTTTTCACAGCTGGTCTCCAATCCTGGGTCACTTGCCTCAGACTGCTCCTCAAAAATCCATTTTAATATTATCCTCCCACTATGTATAGGTCTTCTTAGTGATATCTTTCATTCTGACTTCCCCACAAAAATTCTATATATATTCTCGGCTCACTTCGGCTCCGCTCGTGACGTCACCGCGGGGAGAGTGGCAAAATGTAGTAGGCAAAATGTAGGCAAAAAGTAAGAAGACAAGAGGTCTTCAAATGAATGGTAGCAAGCATTGCCTTAATTTAATCTGCATAAAAGTATAAATCTCAATCAAACACGACTTTTTTTTATAGAATAACTAAAAGCAGTTAAAAGGTTTATCTTTGTTGTTGTTGGTTTTAATTCACTATCATCAGACCTCTATATTTCAAATGTAGAGAGGAAACTCTGTAGATGCCCCTTTTGCAAACACATGATATGTACATATAAAAGTCGGTAATTAATATGATATTGCACCATGTGTAGGGAATTTTTTGGATAAAGCTCATTGGATGTGCCCCCTGTGGAAACAACTAAGAACAACAGATTTTAACTGTATGTTAGTATGTTACAAGTAACAATTGTAAGACGTCAGTTGTTCAACCTCCTTATTATATCCGTCACAACACAACTAATATCAAGATCAGACCATTTTCAGCCCTGCTACATGTTTTGGCTCTTGATAGCCATCGTCAGGCAAACACATGATTTACACACATATACACACCACTGAACTGCAGCACCAACAAAATTGGATACAATATTATTAAAATATATAAAAAAAAAATTTGCTTGGATCCTGTAGCCACTGCCATTTGGCTTGTTTCCTTTGGTTTAATAATTTTGAGTATCCTTCATTGAACCATGGCTTATGCTTCTTGAATTCATAATAACCTAGACTCTCTTTGGCATAAATTTTGATATTCTCTCTCATAGTTTCCCTGGCTTTATTAACATCCACCTCAGTATCTAAGTTTTCCAAAGCTGTGAATCTATTTGAGATTTCAACACTATACTGCTCTTTACCCTCTACCTCATTTAATTGAACCTCTCCCCATGCACTATTGCATTGTTTGTTTGCTCACTGCCAGTCTTGTCCTAACCTTTGCCACCACTAGGTAGTGATCAGTATCACAATCTGCTGCCCTGAATGATCTGACATCAAGCATACTTGAATGCCGTCTCCTTTCTATCAAAATACGATCAATCTGATTGTGCATCTTCCCATCAGGAGATGTCCAAGAAAATTTATGGATGTTATGATGTGGAAACATTGTACTTTTGACAGTAAGATTTTTTGATGTGGCAATGTTTACTACTCTAACTCCATTATTGTTACTAATGTGATGAAAACTCTTATTCCCAATTGTTGGTTTGAAAATGTCTTCCCTCCCTACTTTGGCACTGAAATCTCCTAGCAAAATTTTCATAGGGTACTTCAGGAATTTATCAAATACTTGTTCTATTTCTTCATATAACCTGTCCTTTATGTCATCAATTTTATCTTCTGTTGGGGCATAAACATTTGTAACGATATCACACCAGCAACCTTTTAGTATTATATATGATATCCTATCACTAACGAACTCTACCCTCTTAACTACTGATACGATTCTCTTAGGTACAAAAAAAAAACCTGTACCCAATTCATGATTTTCTTTCTCATTTCCAGAGAAAAATATATATTTACCTGCTGGTTCAGTGTCACCTTCGTCCCATCTGACCTCCTGTACTCCCAATAAATCTAACTTACATTTTGAGATTTCTTCCACCACTGCCTTGAGCGAACTTACCTTATACATACTTTTAACATTCCAAGTACCAAATCTCATATCCATTTTCTTTCGCTTAGATCCTTTATCCAACGAATCCGTCCATGTCCGAGGCTTCTTGCGATCTTTCATAACAAGCAATACGGTGAGGAGTTGTTGGCACCACGCCCAAACCCCAAGCTGGAGGACCACACCTTGTCGTCTGTCCACGACTGCTTATCAATATATTCTCAGCTACCCTCCATATCTGAAGGCCATCTCCTCCATCCGCAACCTGAGGACGCCACATGCCGTGGTGACAATGCACCCACCTAACATGGCCCAGACAAAACTACAGGCAAAAAGTATGGGTTTATTTTGATTTTTACGTACACACCAGACGAGAAAACTACACAACCATTTAATTCGACAAGTTTAAATGCCACGACATTCGATATCTCGAATACGACTATGTTCAATACATCCACTTCACAGTAGTCTGCTTTGATTACTGTTTATGTGAATCAGCTGATCGTTGTGTATGGGAGGTATGAGAAATTTGGCTTCTCAATAGTAAGCTAATTTAGACTGTGTTTCTTGTCCCTTTGCGTAAATAATTTATATATCTGCACGAGTATAAATTATAATGAGCATAGAAATGCAATTATTTCGGTTCAACTTTACAGTATATGTACATTTATTCGCAGAGTTATGGTGTCCTAGGAAAATTTGTTTTCTTTCTTGAGAGTTGACGTCATATTTAGCAGTGAAGTTACAGCTGTTAGCAGTGACGCAGTGGGAATAGCGATATCGTTGTTTGCATCATGATAACTGTTGCAATAGGAATTGTAAGCTACGTTATCTGCAAATGCCTGTCTCAATGAAATCGCACGCGTTTTGTACTCTGTACACTGCATCCAGAACAAAGATTTCTTTTTACGAAGTCATTCGGTACTTCAGCGATTTGTTAGCCAACCTACGATTTTTCTTAAGTGCGTCATATAAGTTCCGTTTTGTGATTGTTATTGGGCTGCAATTAGATTACACGATCAAATTCCATTCTATGGTTGTTATTGGACTGTGATTAGATTACACAATCAGTCAAGCACCTTAAAGTTGAAGCCTGTTTAACCTCGTAGATCTGAAGTTTACCAGGCAACAAACTAAGTTACTGATGAGGTCGCGCCATAGCTCAAGCGGTTAGTGTCTGGCTTCCCACCGCGGTTCGATCCCGGGTCTGGTCAAGTGGGATTTGTGGTGGACAAAGTGGCCCTGGGCCAGGTTTTCTCCAATTACTTCGGTTTCCCCTGCCTATATTAATTGCACCAGTTGCTCCACAATCACCCTCGCCTATCATCTGAGGCTGATACAATAGACCAGAAATGGCCGCAGTACAAGGGACTTAGTCCCACCCCACTAGCAATGGAAAAAGAAAGTTACTGATGTGAACAGGTAGTATTTATTCTCTTATTTGTCATTCCACAGTACAACAATGTCTGCTGAATCACCTCGAAAATCAAGTCGTCAAGGTGGTCATATTGTTGCCCCACAGTCAGTTAGTGATCGATCCATTATTGACAGTGTTGCAGGATTTATCAATGAAGTTGTTCCACAGGTAACCACTTTTGCCGTATTTCAATAGTGTCCATAATTTTAACGTGCATGTAACCTTTGACCCTCATGTACATCATGACCACATGCTACCCAGTTCTGTTTGTGTAGTTTCACATCTCAGTTCTGTGGAAAAACTTTTGAAGATGACAATATATACAGATATGTTTGTGTCATGCCACTGGAATGCTGGACAGACTTGTGACATAAAGAGATCTAATGATTTCTTAGGCAGTGTGCTAAGTTCTGATATTTGGACACTTTGAGGTATTGTTAACTCTGTTTTAACTGATCTCATTTTATTTCAGTCATTATCGAGTTATGCCATTCTTGAAAACCTGCCAATTGTGCAGCTACTCAAAAACATCCCAGCATTTATAGTACCCCAAGTTTCATTACTGTGTTCACAAGAGCCCTCCACCTGTCCCTATCCTGAGCCAGGCTGATCCAATCCATATCATACCATCATGTCCATTTTAATATTGTCCACCTGCTTACACCTTGGTCTTCCTAGTGGTCTTTTTCCATTTGGCTTTCCCTCCAATATCCTATATGTATTCCTCTTCACCCCCATTTGTGCTATGTGCCCTGCCCATCTCATCCTCCTTGACATGATTGTTCTAGTTATACTTGGAGAAGAGTACAAATTATGGAGCTCAGCACACTAACTCACAGCTAATATTGCATTTTAGTTTTGGATTGTAAACTTATATTACGTAATTGTGTTATCAGCGACATAAGGTATGCATAGGAATGAAAAGTTTGTACAGTAGGAAAGTAGTAGTCATAAATTCTGTGTACAACTTCTAGTTTCAACTGTGAACAAGTGATACATGTAGTATAATGAATTGCTGCAGTAAATATTTCTGTGTTTATTAGTGGGCTTAAATTTGCTAAAAGAATATATTACATGAATCTGATATTTTAATCCTCAGTTTCCTCCTAATATTTGAAGCAAATTACTCACCTTTCTAAAGCATTTCAAGTGTGTACTTTAGTACATTCACTTTTAACAGGATAAAATCTGTAATTTTCTTCCTCTCCCCCACTCCCATATCATCATTGCACAACTCTCTTTGCACCATTAAATTATGTGACAGGCCTACACCAGCGCTCCTGTTGGGGAGGGCAAAGAAGCTATTACATGGGCCAGGTTTGAGTATGGAGACATAAATGACCCAGCATTGTATCCTGATTCAGCTGATGATCGAAATAGTTCCCCTCCATTACTCTTGGTTCTGGGATATGGTAGTGGTGTGCAGGTAAGGTACATTACTTGTCTTTATACATAATTTCATGAAGAATTATCAGGTGTAGCTTGTATGGTGCACCCAGTATTAAAAATAGATTGTGTTATGTTAAGGGGCTTTATTTCCAGTGCCACCTCCAGTCTGAGGTTAGGGTTATCATTTTATTCTCTTGCACTGATCTGTAATATACTTATATGCTGTCTGCACATTTGTGTTTAACATTAATTACACTGTAAAATTTTTAGTTTTTCATTATGATGATTGTCAAGAATATTGTCTTCTGTGTTGTATACTTGTTTGAGTGAAAATTGTTATAATAATGTATTCCTGTTGCATAAGTTTGGTGTCTAATTCTGTCACTGTGTGGCAGTTGAGGTTCTCACACCAATGGATATGAGGAGTTCAATCTTCTGGGATATAATGCTATGTGGTTTGTTAAAAGTCAGCGAATGTTATGAAGGAACATATTGTCTCCATCTTCAGGGTTGAAGAAAAAGCCAAGCGAGAAACCATTGTGAAGCAGGTAACAAGCAGATCTTTATGGACTATATGGCATTATATTCCAGAGAATAGAACTCTTCAAGTTATATAGGCCCATATTTAATTATCTTTTAGTGTGTGTAATAACTGTAAACAGATTGCTCTGCTTGCCACCTGCTTTCACAATGGTTTATTACTTGGCCTATTCTTCAATCCTGAAGATGGAGGCAACATGTTTCTCCAAAACATAAATTGACTTTCAGTGGACTACATGGTGTTATATCCTAGGCGACAGAACTTATTTTTCTTACTGATCAGTCCAGTTCACTCCAAAAGGTAATTTGCAGTTTAGTTTTTTGTGATATAATAATACAAAGCATCTCAGCAATAAATTGTTCAAGTAAGGTATGTATTTCTGTTAAATCACATAAGAGCTATACACAGATTGCACAATGTCAGAACTCAGAGAATTAATTTTTGTTGGTCCTTTGTGCATATTGTGTGTAGTAATCAAAATGTGTTATGCAGCAATGTAAATAGAACCGCTTAATTGCGATTTCTATCGCAGCACAGCATCTGGAAATTTTGTGCTATTAACTGCGAGTAAGTTTTCAGAAAGGTGCATGCATGAAAGAGATTTGGAAAGAAGCAGTTATACCTTGACTGAGGAAAACCACAGAATCTTTATTCAGAGTATTTGGTACCCCAGCAGATATTAAAACCAAGCACCCCCCAAATACAAATGTAGGGCCTTACTGCTACAGAAGCCTGCTTGGTGTTAAATTTATATCTCATTTATACATATAGCAGATTAAGTAAATAATTTTTTTCAAGAAAATGAAAGTGCAAGGATAAACATTGATAAAAGTATACATAGTACAATCAAGTTTTCTAGTGGCACACCAAGAAATCGCAAAAGGAAGGTGAACATACATGTTAGAATAATTCCATAAAATTCTTTGGGTCATCTGTTAAGTACCAAATTGCATTTATAATTTAAGTATACATAAAAAATGCATACTTTAAAATTATATTTTGTTACTATTTCAATATTGTTCTATATAGACCCATTGCTAGGCAACGACCATGAAACAAATGAGACAATGTCCATTGATAGGCAGCAGGCCTTGTGTAACAATATAAATACTGTTGGAACCAGTGTTTTCTATGTTGTCTCCTCTGAGGCTATAGCACTCGACTGAGTTCAGTTCAGTTAAGTACAGGAGAGTAAAGTGAGTTGGTTGGTGAGCAATCAGTCAGGGAACTGGTGCATGTTAGTCCTTGTGAGCTGTTGCTGTTAGAAGCTCGTAGCTGAGGCATGGGGATAGTTTGGGAACCCAGAATAAGAGGAGAATTCACTATTGGAAGTCACTACGAAGCAATGACTGTGAAGATGCATCTGTGGACACTAGTGTGTGTTACTCATATTTCATTTATTCACCTTCCATAAATCCTGTTGAGAGTACATTCTCATGCGGATGTGGAGATCGTCCTTGTAACAGTGAACTGCAAAGTGTAGTCGCGCACTGTATCAGAGTGTTGATAAATCGAGTCACCAATCCAAACCCCATTTATAGTCATTCTATCACGTAGCAATGTATTGCCACTGACCGGTTTGGAAATGTTGTTGTGCCAGCCAGACAAGGCCTCTGGGCTTGTTTTTGTCCACCCAAACCATAAAATGTTCTGTGTTACAGAACTCTTAGTGATGCCTTGGAATTGAACAAATTTGTTTGCATGATCTAGGAAATATTTTAAGAACGTTCATGTGTTATAGATTTATTAATTTATTTTTATGATTTGAAGGTTTGGGCGATACCTGCTAGTGGGGAGGCAACAGAAGTTCTATCATGGCGACAAGGCGTTGTGCGAACACTACGTATACTTCCCACACCAGGCTCTGATGCTTGTACTCCTGATACATTCTCTCATAAAAGACCTCTGGTGGCTATGTGTGACTCTGCTGGTGGGCCTTCACCACAGTTTTGTTCTCTCAGCTTCATTTCTCTCCGAGGTGGTGATCAGGTGTGTTGAAACTGTCCGTCAGTTTAATCTTTTAATGATACTTGTGTTGAGCCTGGTAGTTATTTCCCTTGTCATGATATTGACTGTTTAGCTTCTTACATATTTTAAGTATGACATGTTATACTGCTGTGGTGTTGGTCCATGAACACCATCTTCAAAAAATCAGAATATACAAAATTTCTCCCTGCTCTTTTTTTCTTTTCATTTTTATCTTCCTCATCTCCCTTCCTCTCATCTACTATTGTTATGCTTCACTTTTCACCATGTTCCCATACTTTTCCCACTTTCCTAGTAATTCACAGTTCTTTTTTACATCATTGACTCATTTAAGGTTTTGTCTTCCAGCACATTTTTGCTCCTCAAGTTTATTAAAGGTGAAGTTTTACTAGGTTTTGCATCATCTGCTCTATTAATGCACCCAACCCATCTCAGGAGACCAGTTTTTATTATACTGACAACATCTGACTCATTAAAAGATACATATAATATGAATGTTTTCTACACCATAGACCACCCCTGTTCGTGTATGATCAATATTTTCTTTCATTATTAATGCCACACAATTTCAGTTTCATTTGCACAATGAACTTCCTTTTTGTGTTCTTGATTTCCTAAACAGATCCATGATAAGAACTTGACTTTTCCTTCTTCTAGGTGAAAAGTATTAAATTCAAGAATCCAGTAAGTGATGTCCTGGCCAATCGGAGATCTGTTGTTGTGACATTTCCTGAGAGAATTGCCGTCTTTGACGCATCGACGCTTGAAGATCGCCTGACTGTCACTACATGCTATCCCTGTCCAGGCCCAAACCCGAACCCTGTTGCGTTAGGAAGTCGCTGGTATGTGTTGGCACATATAAAGATGATAACCCGTCAATACCCTTTGTGGAAATTAGAATTAAGTAGTTACTGGTGAATATTTTGTCATTTAATTAATCCTTTATATGCTAAAAACAATATAGCCTGTTTCAAAATAATTTATCTTCAGCTATGTTATTTAACAGAGAAAGTGAACTCTGACCTGTCTTTACATGTTTCAGAATTTCATACTTAAATTATATGACTTTCTAACTTAGAAATTGGGAGGAATGTTGGACAATTAGAAATGAAAGTAATTGTCAGTTTTCTTATTGAAAGGAGTAAATAAGAAGACGTTCTATATGTTCTTCGTTCCTCATCCAGTGCTGCTTGTAGACAGACAGTAATTCGTTCTGAGTGTATAAAATTGAGTTTTGCAAAATTTTTAGTGAACAGAAGAAACCAAGTTTTCTTGGTGCACAGTTATGATCAGTTTAACTGAAATAGAATTGTTACTATGGTCACCAAATGCAAATTTGTAACATCTTGCAACTTAGAAGATATTACTATCTCAGACTTTTCTAACACTGTTATTACTGCTGCTTTGACAGAAGAAGAGGGCATTTGCATGACAAAAAGAAGTGGGAACAATGTTAAATACACATTTTGAGGTGCCTAACACAGTAATTACAAATTTAGCGAAATATCACATAAAGTAAAACTATTGTGATATTACACAATGAGGGCTATCTCCTGTAGGTGTTAGGGTAGTTAAAGCAAGAATATTACAGTCTTCAATTGCCTATTTCAAAATATTCACATAGAATTTTTTGAATCGTAAACCTTAGAAAATCGACTAATTTTGACAGCAGAAAATGATGACATTAAAGCATGTGTTAGGGAATTAAGTTGTGAAGATTTGAAGTAGGTTAAAGTGGCACAGGATCATGTTAAATGGTGGATTTTAATACTAGTGATATTAAAACTGGGTTTTATTTCCTGGTAGTTAAATAATTCATCGGTTGGTTGGTTGGTTGTTTGTTTGTTTGTTTGTTTGTTTGATCATTCTTAAACAGTATATCTGTATATGTATACAAGTTTCTGTTACTCAGACTGAAGCCATTCATACCCTACCAGTGATATTCAGATCTGTGTGAACAGGTAATTGCAGTACTGGTATAAAATGGGCTGAAAACTCTGTGACTGCTCCACAAAGTAAGGGAGAAGATTCATAATTTTATTGATTTGTTTTCAGGTTGGCTTATTCTGAGAGGAGGCTAATGCCTGCTCGTCGATCATCAGGTGGAACAGAGGGTGATGGTGTGCAGTCCTACACAGCAACTGTACTGCATGCTGCTAAGTCATTTGGTAAAGGATTACGTGAGTTGGGTGAGACTGTGGCCAGCAGCTTGACTGGAGGAGGAGCAGGCATGGGCTTGCAGAGGGGAATGGTGGGAGGCATTGGGGGACCAGTAGCAGGTCAACAAGGTGGAAACATGCTGAGTGGAAATGCAGACATCATTCAGCCAGGCGTTGTCACAATCTTAGATGCTCAGGTACACTAATTTGTATTTGTTGGCTTCAGATTTCTTGTGCTGAATTTCAGGAATGGAATATTTCAGCTGGATTCTTAACAAGTATCAAGTTTAATTCCCAACCTGGAGGCCAGCTATGATGACAGAGGTTTCCACTGGTATGCTACACTCCTGTTCTGATAATGTAAAATAGCTTAGAACTACTTCCTTCCATGTCTTTTGCAATTCATCTTCCCATTCTGCACTTAGTTTCACGTCCTAGAATTTACAGAATGTTCACTTCTTTGATTTATGTTGTTTTTAAGAAGAAAAATGTAAATGGGATTCCACTGTTATAACAGCTAATAATATACAGGAACATTTCTGTATGGTTGTCACTATGACTTTATTGGTGGTTTGAAAGTATTAAAAAGTTTATTGGACAGTTACTTGTGTACCATCACTGGTACTATACATGTGTATGTCTCATATTTATGAAATCAGATCTAGAGAAACTCTCTGTCCTGATTCTAACATTAATTTTCCTGTCCCAGACTGCAGGAATTTTCACGTGTTCTTTCACTTTATGCAGTAGCCCACAAACTATTCTGTCCATCAGAATCATAATCGTTGACAATGCTAGCATGAATCAACTTGTCAACAAAATCTGTATCTCCCCCCCCCCCCATTTTCTGTCAGCACTGCATCTCTGTTTATTTCAGCACATGGCATTGTTCTGTATTTTTGGAACTGTTGGATTCTAGGCAGTGGCTCAGTTTTCATTTACAGTTCATTGTGATGTGACATCCATTAGGTATGCTTCATATTTCCAGTGCTCAGTATAAGAGACAGATTCTTGATTTTGGAAGTATTCTTGTAGATTTTGTCAACTGATGCATGACTGTCAAGATATGCCACATTTGCCAATTGTTTATTCTCTGAAAATATAGTGTTTCTTTGGTGTGAGTTAGAATTGATTGAAGATGCTAATGCTGCTATTTAACCCTTAACAGACTTCATTTTATTTGATCATATTGTCAGTTTCTTTAATGCATTTATAATTAATTGTGCCTATTAAACTAAAATACAAACTTAATTGGGCACTATTGTATGAGTTGTGTGAGGCATATTGGAAAGTTTCCGGACTAGGACTAGGTCAAAAAAGAAATGCTGGCTTAAATTACTCAATTTTGGCTGCCATCTCCTTCAAAATAGTCTCCATGGGAACGTATACAGTGATCCCATCATCTTTCCACACTTCAAAAGCACCATCGAAGTCATTTCTATTAATGCTGTAATGCTGTCAAGAACCGCTTGTGATTCCCTTAGGATGTCAAACACTGTTTCAAAACGTCATCTCATCAGTTTCGTTTTCAATTTGGGAAACAAAGCAAAATCACAGGAGGCTAAGTCCAATGAGTAGGGAGGATGCAGAATGATAACCATATTGTTAGTCACAAACTCTGTGGTTTTCAGGGATGTGTCAGTAAGCACGTTGTCGTGATGGAGCTATGTGGCGCATGTTCATATTTTCTGTTCTGATCTCCTGGCAAACTCCATAACTGATCCAAACAGTGTCTGCGAACTCTTGGATTGTTTGACGATGGTTTTCATAGATGAGTTCTCAAATTTATTCAACATTTTCTACAATTTTGCTGGTGCTTGTTCACCTTGAACATTTGTCATCTTCAACTGACACTCAACCTGCCTTGAAATGTGAATGCCATTCAGAAACTGCTGTCAGGCTTAAAGAAAGTTCTCCAAAAGCCTCACAAAGCATTTCAAGTGTTTCAGTAGTGGATTTACTGAGCTTCACACAAAACTTCATGCAGACACGTTGCTCAATTTTGCCAACCATTGCAGGCAAAATGAAGCACAAAGTCTAAAAATCACTCATGTAAAAACAGTGCATTCACGTGGGAGACTGATGCAATAGGCTTTTGGAAGTGTGACCTTGGCCTCCCCTCTCATTGTCTTTCACCACAGCAGTTACAACAGTAACAGTCCAGGAATTTTGCGATACCACCTCATAATGGCAAATGTATATGGTTCAGATGGTCAGGTGTTGCATTTTTCAATAGTGATACTCTTACCTCTGAGCTACCAGCTCCATAGTACAGGGGAATTTAAAATTTCTGTTCCTGATGAAGTTTAGTATGTCATGGAAGACCATGTGGAAGCAAATGACTTTCATGCTGTAGTCAGGCACATCATAGACTGAAAATAATGGGTCATCCAGGAAGTACAGCATTTCAAGGATAATGTATGATAGTGGAGGAGATATAAAGGACTGTTACTAGGTTCAAATTCCACCAGAAACACATTCTCTTGCCTTCAAATGAGGCATTATGTAAAGGTGGAAGTTTAGTTCATGAAGAAGAAGCATACCTAAGAATTTTATGTAAATAAGTAATGAAAATAATTGTCCTTAAAATTTACACTGGGAAATCATCTTATATTCAGGTGAATACAATGTTGAAGATTATGTTGTTTCTGCAGGGAGCTTTGACTTCTCGTCGTGAAGAAGAATCAAGATCAGGTGACTCATTAATTGGAGGGAGCACCAGCTCAGATAATATCATTGCCCATTTCATGGCCCATAGTGAACCCATTGTGGCATTAGCATTTGATCCTTCAGGCATGCTTCTTCTGACAGCTGACAAGCGTGGCCATGATTTTCATGTGTTCCGCATCCATCCTCATCCAGGTGGACCATTCCTAGCAGCCATTCACCACTTGTACATATTGCATCGGGGTGATACAACAGCCAAGGTTTGTAGTGTTTTTAACTCCAGATGTTGCATTAAGTATCATAAAGGTGGGGAATTTCTTGACCCACTGAGCAAGTATTAACTTTTTAAGCACTGTGCTCTAAGGAAATGGTTGGTTGGTTGGTTGGTTGGTTGGTTGGTTGGTTAGTAGAGACGTGATATTACTGAAGAACGGAGAGTATTTCACTTGCATTGGTCTAACATGATGCTTTGCTGCCATTCACTTCAAAATCTTTCGTCAGGTTACCAATCAAAAATATAAAGCTTGAAATATACTGAACTGTAATTTTGCCTGTTATTTTATATGGCTGTCAAATATTTGACAGTTTCAGAAAAGGGCTCGTAAATAAAATTATTTTGATCTATAAAGTAAAATGTTGTCCGTGCACTTAACTAATTAAACACTATACCATGAAGATGTATGGAGGGGCGGATGTATAGATCCAAGTATGCAAGAGGAAATGGTAGAAGCAAGGGGAAAATTACATGAGGAGCTTTATGATTTGTATTGTTTATCAATTATTATTGTGGTGACCAGATCAAGGAAAATGAGGTTGTCAGGCCATGTTGTGTGCATGAGAGGTATAAGAAATGCATACAGAGTTTTGGTTATAAGACCTGAAGATAAGTGGCCACTAGGAGATTTAGGTGTAGATAGGAGGATTATAGTCATAAGGAACTGAATGGCATTTTCCTCAGGATAGAGACCAGTCATAGCTGATGTGAACATAGTTTCATGAAAAGCAGGGAAAATCTCAACTGGTTGGGCAAATCTGAGTTCCTATAGAGGGGCCGTGTTTCATTGAGATAGCTGCTGTTGTGACTGGCACTTTTGTTATGCTGCTTCCTGTTACAGGTACAGGACATTGCATTTGCAGCAGACAGTCGTTGGGTGGCAGTTAGCACACTTAGGGGAACAACTCATGTGTTTCCCATTACTCCATATGGAGGTCCTGTTGGTATTCGGACACATGCCACACCGCATGTTGTTAATCGTCTGTCCAGATTTCATCGTAGTGCAGGCCTCACGGCTGATGGCCGCAACAGCCCCATACCCACTCCTGTTTCTGAGGCTGTGTCAACCCCTCCACCAATTCCATACCCTAACCCTCGCCTACCTCCCTATTCTCACCCTACTGTGATCTCACCACTTGCCCAGATACGACAGCCCACAACTCATACCCTCCTATCTACCCCCACATCCATAAACCCCACTTCACATCAGCCATACCATCGTAACCCATCAATGAGGTCACTTGGTCGTACCCAGTCTTCTTCAGATGATGGTCTGCCAGGAGGGGGAATACCTCTGAGAGTTACAGCATGCTTCGCCCCACCACGTGCCTGGCTTATTGAATCTCCTACATTGCCCAGAGAGACATCTGCAAAGGCTCATAAACGAGCAGTGGACTCACTCTTTGTGATGGCTTGCCATGGAAATCTCATAGAATATGATCTGCAACCCAGACATGCGGCGGGTAAGTCATCATCCAATATTTATTACTTCATAGACCTCTTGATTTGTTTCATTCTGGTCCATCGCACTAATAATATTATAAAAAGTTATGCACTTCCGTCCAGTGTGACTGGTGAAGATTTTTCTTATTTCAGTTCTTTATGCCCTTACATATTTCAGTCTTTAGAGACCATCATCGGAAGCTACTATTACAATGTATGTTTTGAGCATTAAAATATGCATATAATGTTGATAATATATGATTGGATATAAAATCTAAAGTTTTTACAACTACAGCGGCTATCTTAATATATTAAAATTCTTGTAATTGGTTTGTTCAGATTTTGTTAGAATTTATAAACCAAGTAGGTTTGTGTCCTCTTTCTTATTACTTCTCTTGATGGGGGCCAAACTTGTGCCACCTTGTCGTTCTTGAGAAGAGGGTTCTTTGATGTCGTCCTGTGGGTGTCTATGGTGTGCCATGACAGCCACTGTAGTTGTAAAATTTTAGATTTTATATCCAATCACATATTATCAACAGTATATGTATATGAGGGGGTACCCAAAAGAAACCAAACTTATTTTTTTTAAACTTATTTATTCAAATTTTAAGCACAAACCTTTAATTCCCTTCAAAATACTCTCCACTTACACTAATACACTTGTCTAGTCTTTTATTCCATTTTTCAAAACATGGTCTAAATTCATCTTTTGAGATGCTTGACAGCGCCTCCGTCTTTTTTTCCTTTCCCTTCTCTATTTCATCGAAGAAAAAAAAAAGTCGCTCGGGGCAAGGTCAGGTGAGTATGGAAAGTGAGGAACAGGTGTCATACCATTT